CAGTGAAATATATTTATGTTTGTGGTTGTAATGTGACAAAATATGGAAAAGTTCAAGGGGTATGAATACTTTTGCAAACCACTGTATATGCAGATTGACAAAACTGACAAATCAAAAGGAAAAAATAAGTAGGTCCTCTGGGATGGGTTCTCCTTTAGTGAAACGTTTTGTCTCTCCTCCAAGAGACTTCTTCAGTCTGATGAGTTTCAGATAAAACTCAGCCTTATAAGCACTGCCTCCACATGGTGGACAAACAGGTTAAGGCTGGTTTATACTTCTTGTCGCACGTCTTTTACCCCKGCTCAGTGACAAAAAGTTACGCAACTTCCACCTGCACTCCTGCTGCGATGCCCCGGTGACAGCTGTCCTGTACATTGCTCCCAGTCAGCACTACGAGATGCGGAGGATCCGGCTCGGAATGTGTGATTGGTCTGAACTTCATGGGTGTGTTTATTCATGGAGCACAACAGCGGGCCAGTGCTCCTCAGCTGTGGCAGCGCTGAGTTGGACTGAGCTGGACCAGAACAGGAGAACCCAAAGCAGCTCTTCCTTCTCTGTGTTATTTTGTTTAAAATTATATATTTTTTGTCTGAAGCCAGTTTTAAAAAGAGCTCAGCTGGTTTGATCCATGTCCCAAGGAGCGTGAGCACACAGCTGGTCCTGTCTTTTTTTCAGTCCACCTCAAAAAAAAAAAAAAAACAGCTCTACTTCACTCAGCTTAATACTGGTTTTGAGTGGGGAAAAAACACTATCCAGCCATCGTTATTGTAGTTTATATACTTTAAATGAGCTGAGGGAGGGCAGAGGGAGAATTTGTGATCATTTATGGCCACCACGTCTGCAGCTCGTTTATACTCGGTCAGGAAAAAMARGCTCTGAAATTGCGCAATAAACAAACCGCTGTCGCACGTCTTATTGAAGTATAAACAAATCTTACGTCACATGCAAAAGTGGGCCATCACCAAACAATAGGCTTGATTAGCTCTATTGCTCATAGAGGGTCATGTGTCCCATCACCTGACTTATTGGTTTAGATGCTTCGGCTGTGGTTATTTGGTGTTTTATTATGTGAATGTAGTGAGTGCAAACGGGGTTCAGCATCCGCTTGTTTTTGTCCCTCTTTCCCTCTTTGTGTTGGTATCATTGGGACCCTGATTCACACCTTTTGCTCACAGGGG